GTGACAGCCTGCATTGGGGGATTACCCAGACACCAGTCGATTTAGGTGACCTTGACCTTATCTTCAAGGTCACCATGACACTTTGCACACTTTTCAAACTCTTGTTAACGCGATATCTCATGGACTGTTGTGCCCTGTGCCTTCAAATTTGGTGACAGCCTACATTGGGGATTACGCAGACACCAGTTGATTTGGGTGATCTTGACCTTATCATCATGGTCACCTTGTTAAGGCGACACTTTGACCACTTTTCAAACTCGATTTGTATCAACATGGTCACCACGACACTTTGACCACTTTTCAAACTTTTGTTAAGGCGATATTTCATGGACTGTCGTGCCCAGTGCCTTCAAATTTGGTGACAGCCTACATTGGGGGATTTCCCAGACACCAGTTGATTTGGGTGACCATAACCTTATCTTCAAGGTCACCACGACACTTTGCACAATTTTCAAACTTATTTATACGCGATATCTCATAAAACATTGCACCCAATGTTTTCAATTATGTTGACAGCCTACATTGGGTGATTATGCAGACACCAGTCATTTCAGGCATCTTGTATGTGACCAAAAAGTAAATATAGATATTCCATTCTTTAGCGGCGGGGGACATTGCCATATCAGCGGCAAACACTTGTTATCTTTAGTAATCAGCTTATGGAAAGTATGGAGTAATTTGGTGGCCGTGGTATATTTATTACACCTGATGTTAATAATCTATATGCTCTAATGTTTGCGGATGATGTTTCCTCAGTCTTGGAAACTGCTCTCCAGCTTCAGAAGAAGATTCATGGTCTTGAGAACTTTTGTCAACTTACTGGTATGAAGGTCAATATTGATAAGACTGAAGTTATTCTTTTCAGGAATAGTGGGCCCCTTAGACAGTATGAACAGTGGTTTCAATTTATGGTCAAGGGCTGGAATTTGTTTCATACTACAGGTATTTTGGTATTGTGTTCACTCCTAGGCTAGTTTGGACTAAAGCTCACACTAATCTTGCTTCTCAAGCCAATAAAGCCCTTATGGCAATCTATAGATACCAAAAAAAGAGTAGGCTATCTGTCGTGTGCGGATCTTTTCAAAATATTTGATGCTATGGTTAAACCTATTCTTTGTTAAGGTTCAGAAATTTTGGGTGTTACCCATTGTAAAATCATTGAACAAATCCAGATAAAAATATGAAAATATTTCTTAAAAGTTGGTAAAATACATGCAACAATATGGTTCTTGGTGAATAAGGATGTCACGATACATAAGTTTCATGAATCGATACTTATCACGATACCCATGGCACGATTTGATACGTATCAGGATACTTATTTTCATGGCATTATTGCGTAAATCTAGTTACATTTTGAACATCAATATTTCATATTTTATAATTGTCCATGAAAAGATCAACATTTTTTATTCTCAGAGATTAAAAAGTTCTAATTTCCCATCTTTGTGCATGAAAAATAATGATTTATAACTCTCATAACATCAAAAAACATGATACAATTGCAAAATGTAAACGATACATAAACATATTTAAACCGATACTTTCAAAACTAACTACCAATTTACATTTTTGAATGTATCGATAATTGTATTGTTTTAGAAAAAGTATTGATGCATCGATGTATCGTGGCATCCCTATTGGTGAATGTGTCAGATTCTCTCTTCAACTTACTATGTCAAGGGCAGTTAAATATTGGCCTAGACTTTTAACTCTTCCAAGTTATAGATTACCTCATCTGTTTTATTTAATGTTAAAGTCTTAGGATGAATCTGGATGCACGACATGGGCATCTCATATCAAGAATATTTTATTTAGATTTGGGTTTGGCTTTGTTTGGATTTCTCAGGATATTGGAGATACTGATGGTTTCATTTTTTATTTTCCCAACATCATATAAAAATAGGCATAAATTATTTATGACATTTGAAGTTTGTTGAAGGCATTTTGTTGACAAAGCTCTGTTTCAAATATTTATCCAGAAACTTATTCCTTATATCTAGGTAGGCTTTACAATAAAGTAAAACATGTATTTCATCTTCAATTAAATTAAGATTAATGTTTTGGCAAAAGGGACAGAATCTTGAATCATAAGGGACATTGTTATATCTACCGGTCTCAGAACTAAGTTTAAAATTACCACATCTAAATCTTGTTAAACAATTTCTTAAATACAGGGCAATATCTAAACTGAGGTACGTTTCAACAGTTAGGAGGGACTTGAAAAGAATATGATTAGAACACCTGGTTGTATTATGTAGGGATGAGTACCAATCTTGTGCTTAAAAACAGAGATTCTGATGTTTTTCTGTAAAACGCATGTTACTTCTCATCATATCTATGAATGCATTTTGGGCCAGTGAACTATTACTGAATAAAATTTCTGTCTGTCTGAATAAAGTCAAGGAAGGGAGTAATGTCATCATACCTGAAAGTAATTTAAATGGGTCATCTCATGACATCAGTATGGAAATGGGATACAAATTTAACGACAATTCATCGGAAATTGTGCATTCTTTTATGACCATGTCATCCTTCAGAATTAGTCTTTTGGGGTGATTCAGCTACAAAGTTTATTGCTATATTGAAGGGCTTTAGGGTTTATTTGGTTCCCACAGTCCCACTGTTAACTATAGTGCACCAGTTCCTCTGGTGTGTTCTGGCAGTGATGTAATAGAGGTCTTGGTTATGCAGAAATTGTCAAAACAATAGCTATTTTGTCAAATTAAAGATTACTATGTCCAGAACTTGAGAAATAATCTCAATGGCTCACTGATTTGAGACCATCTAATCTAGAAATTTGATGCTGGAAAGACGTGAGCTCCTGGCTTTGTGCAGTGAGAAACCATTACTTTTTTATGGATAGCTGACAATGTAGAAAATGTCTGTTGAAAATGTAAACTTTTTCATACCAAATTCTCTCTGGATCCGGCATTATCTCACATCTCCAGAGAGTTCAGAACATAGCAGCCCGCCTCATAACCCGCACTCGACTACATGAACGCATCACTCCAATTCTCAGAGAACTGCACCTGCTACCCATCAAACAGCGTATATCCTTCAAGATCCTGACTATCTGCTTTTCTGCCCTCCACTGTGACACTGCTCCAACCTATCGTAAGGTCCTCCTCACTCCCTATCTCCCTGCCCGTAGACTCCGCTCATCTGGTCAACTCCAGCTCTGTGTACCCTTTTTACGAGGACAAAGTTAGCTAGCCAGGCTTTTTCTGTTGTGGCTCCAACTTTGTGGAACAGCCTACCAACATATATTAAATCTGCGGACTCTGTCCAGTCATTCCGCCGTGACTTGAAAACCCATCTCTTCAACCAATAACTCTGTTCATTTTATTCTTTTTTTAACCTTGTGAAGTACCACTGAGCAGCCACCGGTTGGAAATTAGGTGCTATACAAGTGCATTATTATTATTATAATTATTTATGGCAATGACATACGAAAATATAAGAGTCCTACAAAGTAATGATATGGTGTATAAACCTTTTAGTTCTTATCAACAGTATTGTACTATAATAGCATGGTGCATCCTTGGGACACAGTATATATTTTTTTTACATCCATTCGTATATTTCTGTCGGCGGTGGGGTGGCCTAGTGGTAAAAGCATTTGCTCGTCACGCCGAAGGGACCAATGCATTCCTGGCGTCTTGTTTGCATAACACACTTCAGTCCATGCTTCGACGAAATGCACATCTTTCGAGGTGATGTACGGTTGCCCAGCCAAGCTACCGATAGACCTGAAACCGACCGAGGGGAATGACGGCACAGCTACAGCACCCAACATGGCATGCCCAGAAGTGCTGGAAACCATCCTCGATCTACGCAAAGGCATCTGTTCCACTGTTTCCGATAATATCTCCAATACACAGGATCGCCAGAAAGAAAACTACATTAATGATGAACTAAAACATTTCCTGAACCAAACTGTGAATGAGTACATCACTAATTTAGGAATTTCACGAGATGGTATCTGGAGATGCAGAAGTTATGTCAACAGCAAGTCTGTTAAGATGTGACATTTATATTTACAGTGCAGTTGGTCAGTCAATGGAATGGCCGACATACCTTGCCAGCTTCAGCTTGAAAACCCAGACTGATTATGCTTTGTACCTGGAAAATGTATCGGACCATTTCAATGTTGTAACCAGTGTTTAATTGTGTGAGAAGTACAATTAAATTATAGTATTATCCTTAATAACTTGTTTTCTGTAGGGCTATAATCTGGGCTTGCGTGCTTGCGTGCTAGGGCCTAGTCCAGAATATACCCCGGGGTATAAACTAGGCTAGCCCAGATTATACCCCGGGTATAGTCTGGGACAGGGGTATACTCTGGCCTGTTACACCGGGTTCGGTTCCCCACATGGTTACAATGTATGAAGCCCATTTCTGTTGTCCCCCACTGTGATGTTGCTGGAATATTGCTAAAAGCAGCGTAAAACTATATTCATTCACTCACTCATACATTTCTGTGTTGCCTAAACCACTGCATCCTCTCTTGATATGAAGTGGCTATGCAGCGCATGTTCGATAAACATTGTTTGAAGTATGATTATCTAATTTATCATTATCTACACTCTTCCATCAGTCGGGTAGCCTAGTGGCTAAAGCATGAGCCCGTCATGTTGAAGACCCGGGTTCGATTCCTGTCATGGGTACAATGTGTGAAGCCCATTTCATGTGTCCTTTTACAGCAATATTCCAGAAATATGGCAAACAAACTCTCTCACTCTTCCACCTTAAGTATTTGGAATACAAACATAGGAGTTTTCAAATCACTCTATCAATTCGCCAAATCATTTGTTGAATAAATTTGGATTTTAGTCTAGATTATGAGCATAATGCGGAGTAAAGAAACAGTACAAATCTAATGATTTAATACATTATGGATTATTAATTGTTTATAGCCATTGACTGTATTATCTGTAAGAGTCTTAATCCTGTTGAAAGCCTACTGTTTAGTATTACCGGTATTATGTTTTTTACAGGCCGACCCCTTACAACTAAAGAGTTTGCTGACACTTGTGCGAGCAGGAGCTCAGGGTCGGGATTTGGAGAGAGTCACGTTGTCATCACTGGCTCCAGCATCCACTAAACAGGTGGAGAAACCAAAGACAGAGCTGACTGTGATGTCCAGGAAGGAATACCCAGTGACCAGTCGATTCCCTGCCAGTCTGGAGGTGCTTGCTGTCCACTCTTGTGGCATGAAGCGCCTTGATCCTCGTATCCTGCATCTCTCCAGATTACACACACTTGACTTGAGCCGGAATTCTCTTACATCCCTCCCAGATGACTGGGGTAGACTCAACTGCGTGAGCACACTTATACTCACTGACAACCAACTGTCAGAATTACCTTCTGGTCTGTGGAAGAGCCAGTTGTGTGAGACCATTGCTGTGTTGGATGTTCGCAACAACCACATAACAACCATTCCCCTTCAGATATGTGAACTCCACAAACTGGTCTGTCTCAGACTTAATAACAACGGTTTTGACTCGCTGCCACCAACTATTGGCAAGCTTACCAACTTGAAAGAACTGGCCATTGCACAGAATAAGATAGAGGTCCTACCAGCAGGATTTTCACAACTTCGACTTGAAAATCTTGATGTCTCAGACAATCCATTTGACCTGAGTGTAGAAGGTGTGACAGGCGAGGAGCAACTGGTGTTCCCCACATTGCTGGAGTGTGTGGCAAGAGCCATCAGAAAATACAGGTCTGTAACATAGCATGGACTTTATATCCTATAGGATTTGTTAGGGTTGAAATATCTGTACAATTTTAGCCATTTGAAATTACTTCACCTTTGTTGATGACTTCAGTATACCTTTCTTTCTGGGTGGGAAAAATGATTGAGCACCACAAAGAAAAAGGGCGGCAAATGGATTTCTCAATGGGATAATAATTCTCAAAAGGCTGACATTGTTTGTAAGTCAATCAAACAGCAATTTTGTATAAATTTTCAATCATTTACGAAGGCCGATTGATATATCTCAAGATAAATTTGTCGTCGGAGTATCACGAAGGGTATGTGTGATTTTTGCAGCCATTATGGGTTTTATGCTTCTCTGGATTGTGGTATAAAACCAAATGTGGATTGCATAAACCACATATCCCCATCGTGATGATGCTACAACTCATAACACATACCATATATTTCTGAATAATTGATGTTGTTTGGTAGGTAACATATCAATTAATCTGAAATTGAAGCGGTGAATACAAATTGTGGCTGTGAATACTGTATATTGATTATTGTAAGTGACATCAATTAATAGATGTGCCCATCAAAAGTTTATTGTTATTGCAGCCACATATTTTTTACTATTGTAGGATATATTTAATCCACTTTATTTAATTGAACTTGTGTGGTTACTTAACTCTGCACATATCAATTTTTGTGTTAACCTTCAACTTTCAATTTGGTGTGGTGAAATTGGGTTTAACATCGTGCTTGAGAATATTTCGCTCCTATGATGACGTGCATGTGTGTGTGTATGTGTATGTGCGGCTGCTTGTACTAGCCCAGACTTAAGCTGGTTTTATAGTGCTAGCCCACTGAGATACCATGCCGCAGTGAAGCATGAATACCTCACTCAGACACATTATACTGACTCCGAGCTGACCAGTCCTTGTTGTGCCCATTAATGCCGAGCGCCAGGCAGGGACCAACAAATACCATATTTTAACGTCTTTTGGTATGACGCAGCCGGGGATCGAACCACAGAGGCGGTCACTTTCAATTAGGAAATCATAAAGTTTTAAAAATCAAATTAACACAACACAGTAGTCATAGGACAGTTACAGTCGACATAACTGATCATTGTCATTGTTGTAAATCATTGTCTATCTCATTTCAGTCTGTTAAACATTTAGAGACTATTCACAGTCTTTGGGAAGTACTACTACACAATCTTGGCATATTCCAGAATTTTCTTTCATTCAGTTTTCAGACTCATTCAAATTATCTTTCAAAGTTCACTCTGAAAAGTAATTCTCTTTTTTAAACAAATATGTTTTAGCTTGGGAAGGCTGCTTTCTCTTTTTATTGGTCATTTTAATGTTCATTGTTCTGATATAGCTTGTAATGAGATGAGCTCAGATCTGATGGGCATGCCACAGATCCATACCCATACTTAGTCATAACGCAGGTCTTGGGGTTCATGGATGACCTCCAGTGTTATACTCTATACCTAACACGGAATAATGGCCAAGTAAAATCGTATTTTCCACATAACAGAACTGCTATTATTAAATGAAAATAGATATGTATATAGGAAACTTGCAATCATATATCTCTAGACATGATAATGAAGTTGTTCCTGTTATGCTCACTGCTATTTCCAACTTTGTTGATTAACAATCAGCTGTGTACACCTTTTGCTCCGATCTACCGGTGATTCAGTTAAATATGATAGAATAGAAATTTTTGGGATCATATTTAACTATCACCAGAATAATTTATATCTCAAGCAGTTATTTTAACAGAGATAACCTATATTGCAATCGTATTAGTATAATGCATGTTTTCTACGAACATATTTAACATAATAATTAACATAGGCTCAGCACTTTGACAAGTCACCGTTGACTTCCCCTTGTAAGTGCCACTTAGATTGTAAAGACAAAATGTTGGCAATTAGTTGTGAAATATGACTTCAATGAGTCAACGTAGGTCTGGGGGTCCATGGATGACAAGGCTGAAATCATGATTGCTGAGAATAATGTGAAATTGGTGCTATCACGGTAGTCACGAAAAGCGGACCCTCAAGAACATGGTAAGCGGAAGTGGTACGTGTATAGAATGAGGTGATGCCATTTCACACACGTTTTCTCCAATGTTACTGTAAACAGTTAAAATGAAATCGAGGAAGATCGTTTTATGACATCATAAGTTTTCAGATGGCAGTATTTACCCACACTATAATGTGGTGTGTTGCATTACAACAAACATTGTAAGTACTCTGCTGATGGCATGTCTTTATGATACAGTTGACTTTGCAAGAACTTATAAATGTTCCGCTGTTCATCTGATTTGAAATAACTGAAAAAGAAACAGAACTCAGCTACTGATCTGGTATCTGCAGTTGCTGTCTTGCAAGTAGACGACTTGAACTCGAACTCTCGAACATGCGGCTGTCCAGCAAGGAAATGCATAGATTCTGACAAAATGATTCAATTTCTAGATATGTTAGAAAATGTTAATAAACTGACGGTCGAAAACTAAAAATACAAATATTTGGATTGCATTATGGTATAGCGACCTGAAGGTAAAATACCGCTGTATACCATTTCACCCCTAATATGCACAGACAAACACTATTCCAATGATGTGGGGAGAAAGTAATGAATTGCTGTTGTTTCAGGATCCCCTACACAGAGGAAGATTTGTTCCCTCATCTGTACCACTTCCTGGCTGCAGCCCGGCAGTGCTGGTGTGGCAATTTCTGTTTCACCTGCAGTTCTCGTTACTTCAGTCATGTCAATCTGCGTCACTTAGTGAGCAACACTTACAGTGCCAGCCCAGGAGTCAGTTCTGTCCCAATTGAGGGCTTCCTCTGTTCCCAACATTGCCTGATACGTTTCAAGCACAACCCAAGAGCATACTGGAGGAATTAACTTACTGTACAATCTACATATGGTTGAAATGTATAATTCATCAATGCCAAGATAATGATACGTTTCTATCAATAATGTCTTTGAAACCTTGGTCACAAAAAACCAGAAGTCAATAATGTCACACAAATTCATTATTGATTATGACCACCATTAGATGTCTGTCAGGATTGAGGTCTGGGGGCCAGGAAACCACTGGTCAGTCCAGTTGTGTTAGATGTTTTGGTTGTTCATGAACAGTATGATGGGTGGTCTGATGATGTCATAGCAGTATTGCCTAGCTGTAAGATGACCTTGAAATGAAACTTGAAAATTTTAACATCGCCGAATGTGGGAGGTTCGTTGAAGTATACCTGATAAACGCTTGGATATATCTGGCGACAGCAAGGCGGGAATCGCCGCATCTGTAGGATTCGTCGAAGGTCTTTATGGCTCGGTGAAATTGGGATGGGTTTCTGAACCCAATACAATTGCCGCAAAGACAGCCAAACTGGAAGGAATTGCAGAACTGGTATGGTTGTCGGTAGTTGGTTTGGGAGACATGGATGTAGTGCTTCTGCTTATTGTCCAGTTCAAGTTTTCTCAAGTATTCTCTGGTTATAAAAATAGGTGAGGAAATGTATCTGTGAATGGTGTTGTTTATTGAGCCTTAACTGGGAACACACTCACCACTGGACTGTCAATATTAGACTTCGATGGGTTCATAGGACACAAATACAGGTTAGTCTACATAAAGGCGAAACAAGCGTCTCAAACATTTCGCTCAAATAAATGGGGTGACACATGGTCAGCCAGAAGGCATGCTGCATGCTTCAGAGACTGAGGATGTCCAGGATCCAGAGCAGAGGAGCATGTTGGGCGAATGGTACAAGAGAGGCCAAAAACCTTGTTTACAGGTCGTTTCCGCTCAGCTGTCAATCATAAGAGAGCGGGTACAATCCGTGCGATAGGATAAGTTTAACATTTATTAATTAAATTTACAACTTAAAACCCTTGTATAATAAAGTATTGAATGAAATGAGATGTTTGTTTGTATAATTATAGGAGACCAGATATTCTAACCTTGTGATGGTGATCTGGCTGAGTAATCACCAGATGATTGAAGCTTCATATGGATCTCTGCAGCAAGGCTGAGATTCTTGAGCCTGGAGGCTGCTAGGACTCAATTAATTGGCTGCAACAAGTCCCTACAGTACCACTCTGGAGAAAACTCTTGTGTTGTATCATAGGGACTTTAGCAGCAGCCATTCATTCTGGCCTTATGTAGGATAAGCTGTTGTGTTTAAAGTTTAGGTATGAGCACAATGCAATGAAAATCATTTAAAATTAATTTATTTGACATTTTAGCCTTATGTTTATTTACATGCTGTACAGACTTTACAATTTGTACAGGAAGGTCTTCCAACACGTTTGATCATATAACACTACATCGCATCAACAACACAATCCATCAATATAATTAAGCTGAAATAGCCCAAACATTTCTTACAATTGTTATGTATTAATGGTGCAATTAATCAGAAGTATAAATGGATGGGGGAGAAAAGCAGATTTTTATGACTGGTTTACATATTTTTTGCCCTGTAAATATACACAGAACATGCATAAGCTTGAGGGTGACAATAATAATACACAATACACTAATTGTTTTTAAAATTGATAATATCTTGGCATGTTAAGAAATGACCTCAAGACACAGGACTGATATACAAGTTGGTAGTATTTTCATCTTTTGTTTATTTGGTCTTCGACATAATCCTATGAACCTGAAGAATGTGATCACAGACATGAACTCAGTATTTGCATTTGCTTGCAAAAACAGAAACATCCCCCATCACCACCATTTCATCAAAGCATTTTAATGTACCACCATGTTCTGTCAGATCATAACAACCACTTAAGATCTGCCAATCAAGATACAACCATGTTTCACAGTAACCTCAAAGATGACACTGACGTTTGAGAGACATTTGAAGGTGTTTTATGCATTGTAACCAGAAGCTTTTGAGTAAGAATTTTCAATATTGCAACCTCAAACTTACTGCATTTGTTTAAAAAAGACAGCTCTTAACACTTTCCTAAAATAAAATTACGACATCCATCTTATAAAAACCAAACCATGACAGAGCTTAGTTTGAGACAATGTATATTTAATATTAACGGCATAAACCTCCTTGACCTATGCAAAGGAATTCCCACGGGCTATTTGGAAAAATAGAATAATTTTTAGGTTAACTATCTTTGAGTAGCTGTCATTAACAAAGGCAGTCATATTCCAGCAAAAGCTATATGCAGTCCAGTTTAAAAGAGCTGCTAATAACACATGTATGGCTCCCTTATGGAAAGACTTTTACTAGCTCACATAGTCCTACCTAATCTGATTCCGGCTACCACTATCCTAATGTTTCTGTATTATTATGGTTGACTTTTGGATATCTCTGTAAAGGGAATTATCTGGTTGTATAGTAACAACATCTAGTAAACACAGTATGTACACTCAGGGTCAGAAAATGTTGAAAACAACAAATGAACACAGTAGAAATAAAAGAAAAGAATGTCAAGCTGCCATTTACCTCCTTGTACCACTTCAGCAAATGTGGTTTGATACTTAACATTTGTCTGAAGGATACAATAAATGTACAAAGTATATACTTAGATTATATTCATTCAATCATTCACACATAACATAGTAACAACTATGCACTCAACATATTTGTCACTAAATGCACACACACAATATTTACATTCTTGGTCATGTTTTAACAGTATGTTAAATGTAACAACAAATCAAATTAATATGTCTAAAAAAGCACATACTACCACACTAATTAGGATAACCCTGAGCTATAAAAGCAGAAACTGTTCCATTTCTGTTAAACAGTTCCAAATGTTTCAGTACATTAACTGTCAAGTTACAGAATGGTTGTGAAAAGATATTTGTATGCCTTTATGACTCATTTGTTACAACCACAAAGCCAGCAGTAGTTTCTGTAAGCAAGGTTTGTTTTTTCCCTGATATAGTCCTGTACGGAATCCTGCACATATCACAGCCATAAGACATAAGTTCCAGACCAGATATATACAGCTTTGACTTGACTTTTGGCACATTTTGAATGAAGGTGTTGCTAGCAGTCTGGTAACTCCTGGCCAATGCCAAGTGGATCCAGCAGCATGGAAGCTGCTGCTGGTGCGGTGAAGGCAGAGCCAGCAGATGGGCCTGGGCTCAAGTGGTCCACTGCTGGACTCTGGTTACTAGATGCTGCTGCTGCTGCTGCGGCTGCCATGTCTGTGGAGTAATGCTTGCCCTGAGGGTCAATGCACTCTTCATCTTCATCTTCAAATTCACTTGGAGGCTTCATTTTTGCCAACTCTTCTCGGAGCTGATTATAGTGTCTCTGCATAAATTAAGCAATGTAACTTTCAGTATTTATAATTTCACACACACATATATATACATTAACACACAATAATATTTATCCTACCTCATATGAGAATGTCCATCTCTGATTGGTTCACATGACCTTGAACAAATTACCATGTATGCCCGGTGCACGGTCGTACACCGCCCAAGCAGGGTATAATCTTTGCGAGGGGAGAATAAATCATTTATACCCTGTCCCACGGGAAAAGCATGCATCCACGACAGTGAACCGTGAACCAGTGGTTCGGATTGACTAGTCGGTACCATGTTAGTGAAATATATGATTGAATTTCAGTTTGTTTGAATGCTATATTAACATAATGAGAGATTTAAACATTCATTTAGATAAATTTGTAGTAGCATTATGATTCGGCTCAGTGGATAAAACCTAACAAGGGACGCATAAAACCCTGTATACACATCATCACCATGCTATAACTTATAACGGCCTTTTATGCACTATTACCATCACTAACAACCATGAAAAATTTGAGCCATGATGATTTACAATTTATATTTCCTGCTATGCTAGGCATTGTTTTATAAGCAGAGATTACCATGTACATTTTCTCATAAACAAAGCCTGAACTACAAATAAGCTGTAACCACATTTCTCCTTATCTACCAATGGTTCAATCAAAAAACACCTAAGTTCAGAAGGATCTGTTATTTCACTAGAAAGCATATTCCACCACTGAATTATTATTTTTTATATTTTGATTTTTATATTCCAAACCTGTTACATATTACAACCATTTTGGTACATATATATCTAGGCAAAGAGGCCATTTGACCAGTGAACATTGAGGCTTCTGCAGCCTTGCTTTTTCTATTACAAAACAAATTATGTTAACACTTAGTAAAAGTATGGCATTTACCTTACATGTATCCATTCTCTGTTATCAAAAGTTGTTTCAAGCAAAAAATGTACCGGTAAACAATAGTGAAATAACAGATTAAAAACACAAGGCCAAATAACTATGAACACTATTGATAACCAGACAGTGTAATAACAAGAATAAATCTTGTATGTATATATATATATATACGTAATCTTGTATGTATTTCTTCACATGGGATTTCTGGTGTTATGTTCAAACTCTAGTTTCGAGCCTTGCATATGTAGCAAAAGCCTCTGAGCAGCAGGATACTAGTTTCTGCTCAAATGTTTATGGACAGCTGAATGGGCACAGGGCAGCTGACTGGGCAGAGGATGTGGTAAACCTCTGAGGATTTTATTTTAGAATAGTATGAGAACTAAAGTACTGTTGGAAATAGAAAAAAACTGTATTTTCTCATTTATCTCTACAACTTATGTAGTTGATATGTGAAAGTGTGAAATATCTGTTAAAGATCACATAAACCCTAGGGGGTACAAATACATAAATCACTAACTGGCATCGTTATAAATGAAACCCCGTCATTAAAACTACTCATTTCGACCTTTAATTGACTTAAATCGACCTTTTTGACAACAGTGCACAATTCTCACCCGCGAACGAAATTTCAACCAATCAGAGCGGCGCATCTCTGTGACGTCATATGAGGAATAGCTTTGAGGGCCGATGCAGAATTCATCTACATTTTAGGGGGTAAATTATCTTGTTTACAGGCTTGTATAAACCTGAAATCGTGACAATTGTTGTGGAAAATGAAAGCTATATGTTCTCACAATCTACTGTCATTTAATTTTGTCTCCTGCTTTGCCTAGTTTCCGAGTTAAAACTTGTTTTCATAGACGATTCTGTCAAATTCGATTGGTGTCGTTAGGCCCTATTTGTATAATGACTGATCCAAATTGATCCCATTTCTGTGTTTTTTTACCTCGATATTTAATCATGTCATGTAAAAATCTGTTTGTATTCTCAAAACAGTGTCGGCCCATAAGTTTTCACATGCAATACAGCAATTAATACTCCCTTGTTGTGACCCGTGTTAGGTGGTATAAACTACACATGTTATTTGTCATCATTCACTTGATGGTCAGTTAATGAATTTATAACAGGTATAATTAGTGGTAACACACTTAGATTACCAGACAAAGGTTCCCATTTGGCATTTCTTGTGTCTGGAGTAAATATTCAACATTATAAACATCGATCAAAGGATTAACCGATAACACGCTGATTGATTAATTACTTTTATCTTACACAGCGGAATTGTCAAAAGGTAGTGTTTATGTATGTAGATTTACTAATCTATACTGAATACACTCTGTCGTGTCGGTGTCTGCATAAAAACAACGTCCTTCTTTCAAAGGATTAACCGGCAATACATTGATTGATTGCCCATTATTGGCTAACTAAATTACTGTTTTCAAAGAAAGGCGGACATTATGCAATTAGTTGCCAGGTGTGCTATCTTGGGTGACCAATGAGACTTTACACCAATACCTGAAAAGATTTATCACTTTTTCGTATATTAAACTGATAAAAGACACATCATTTGGAACAGTTTTGTGGATATTGATGGATACTTTCCTCGAACAAGGTAATGGCCTGATATTGTTCCTATAACTTTAATCTGTTTTAATTTTAATATTTGCATTTTGTTTTTACTCATTTGTCGTAGCATTTAACAGAATCATTGTTTTTGCCGTGAAGTGTAATGAGACAGACAACATACACTAGGGTGTGTGTGCGAATTATGATTCACATTGGCAAACTATAAAATGTCTAGATATTACAGTTCTGTTATAAATTCACTATAAATATCAGCAGGTCGTCTGCTTTTTATTTAGTTTCAAAATGCATACAAGTATGATAATAAACTAATTAGGATTATAAGACCAAATATAAAGACGCACATTGACTAGTATCTACATACTCGTGAGTGGACATTAACCATGTGAATGTAGCAAGAAATTTATCGCGCAGTATTGTGCCTTCGACCCCCACCTCGCTTCCGTGGAAGAAATCGTTATGTTATAAGTTGTGTCATGCAAAATCCATTTGGTTATGATTCCAATACATATTTAACTCTGAGTAGAAAGTAGTTTTGATTTTCTATCCTTGATGAAAACAAACTATAATCTCATTAATTCTAACAGACTTTACGATTTTAAAAAATGGCGGCACCCCGTCGGGAACATCCGCCAGTCTGAGGATAAATGCTATTTAGGTTTGTTTTCACCGAGTTACAAAATCAAAACTACTTTCTACTGGTAGTAAAATATGTATTTTATTGATAGCCAATGGGATTTTGCATGACATAGCGTATAACATAACAATTTCTCTCCTGGCAGCGAGGTGGGTGTCAATATAATACCACTTACAATATTATTGTTACTTCGACCACAAGCTCACTTACGAGGAAGAAATCGTTATGTTACAAGTTGTGTCATGGAAAATCTTTATGGTCATCAATCATATACATATTTTACTACAACTAGTAAGTAGTTTTGATTTTTTAACTTCCAAGAAGCGATCTGAACACAAGTAAGATATCGTTTCAGACTTCCACAACGCTCGCTTCGCACTCACAAACATAACCCATTTAGCACGAACTGTGGGGTCCTGTGGAAATCTGTGCATGGTGACACCATCGCCCGACCCCTAGGAGCAATTGACGACAAAGCAACGATTCGGCATGTCGTCGTTGATGTCGAGAAATCATCAAAATGATGAGCGTGCTACACACTTTCTATACAACTAACTGAAAATCGTTCCTCATATGACGTCACTGCAGTGCTCTGGCGACAGAGTTACGTAACCTGTCTGTGGTTTCGTTGGCGGGTGAGAGGGAAGCAGGTTAAAAGAGTAACAAAAAACAAAGTTTAGTGGTTCTTTAAACTAAGTTCAGCCTAACTACAGTCTCAGTGGTAGAGAGATAGGAAACGGAGAAAAAGGACTTTACTGAGGGGAAATTAGTGCAGAAATGAGCAATGCGGTCCAAAAAGACTTATTTGGAACAGACCATGGCTTTATGCAAATTAGTGTGCGACGATATTGTATTACAAAGGACACTTTTTAAATGCCCAATTTGAAATTAGACGTAGATTCATTATAAACGATAGCTGACGTAAAAAATAATAACTTTTATGCTGAAACTATTAAGGATGTAGCTACCATGCAGTCTCACTGTCACTATAAAAAGAAACAGATAGGAGAGGTCGTCTCAAAAGCAAAACCTGGGGTCAGGCTGGGGGATAGAGATATCAGCTAAGATAAGATAATCCTTTAGGGCAATTATACTGGGGAGGTACACGGAACGTCGTAACAATTTACAAATAATATCCAGTCCCGTCGATCTTCGGGTGGTCATGCCACCTATATACTACGATGCTTTTCTATGGTTTTCGGGTATCATACTCTTTTACATATCTCAACATAAACTTCATGAAAGAAAGACACGTAAGATGTTAATCAATAGATAAGACATAGTCAACACACATAAAAAAGCACAAAATATCTTTGAGATGACCCCTTGTGCCTGCGGGCAGCACGTGCATTTCATGCCAGGTGAGTCGACGGTCTGTCGTCATACCTGGCTGAGCGACCAAATTGCCATCTATAGTCTGATCTATTGTTTTCAGCAGCTATTCGTATTTTTTCTAAGTTTTGCCCGATTTTACGAGTAAACATGCTTTTCTGGATATTGTATTATGCATCCCACTGAACGCCCAGTTAGGCCGAAGTGGGTTATTTCGACATATGCTATTTGCAATTGTGTAAATTTTAGGGATACAGAGTAACAGCCTAAAAACAGTTTTTTTCTATTTCCGACAGTACTTGAACTACAGGGGTATTGCGGTAATATAATACAGGTAGGTTATTTGCTTGTGAGCTTGGAACACTGGAAATAACATGCAAACAAATCTGCAAATTAATCATGCAATTTCATCGTGTGGTCATAAAATGCATTTATTGTATATCTGGGCCTAGATTTTCGAAGCTCTCTTAGCGCTAAGATAGTTGTAAGTTAATGTTAATATATGGCACTTACCACTATCTTAGAGCTAAGAGAGCTTCGAAAATCTAGGCCCTGGACTTATTTTGTTTATCGTTTTCATTGATTTTAACAAATTCAAATCAATTTTGCTCACATTTGATTCACCAAGCCTGTGTGTTAAGTTATCATCAGTGCTCCAACTCGCCATCACAGTCAGATTTGGGCTATTGATGCCTTAACATAAAGTTTAGTTGACAGAGAATGGAAGCATTTATCATAAAAGCCATACATTGACCAGGTTAAAGACATATTTGTTGCTGTTTGACTAAAATATGTCATGAAAGTGCATAAGTGACTTTCAAATAATTCCACACATAAAAACTAGTCTGATGAAAATATGATTACATACACCAATGCTTACTTACAAGAGACCAGCAAATCATGAGTTCACTGGAATTTGTCATGTAATTACTAAATCTATGTCAAAACTCACCTTAAGAGCCAGGGTATTGTGAGCAATGGATCTGCCTGTCCTCTTGTCACTGCTGTAGGCCTCCATTTCAGTGATCCAGTCCTCACATTGCTTCAGCACCTCATGTCTCTTTAGCCAAAAGTGGCGTTGGATCACCTACAATCAAAGGTTAATTAATATTTCTCAAGGTTCAGGCAACATCAGTGAATACTTCTCCTTGGTTAACTTGACTAAGGGACCATTCATAATTTATGGCTGGGAGGGGTGATGATGATTTTAAGGGATGGGTCACCCATTTTGTTCTGGGGAGGTCATCGATTTTGTACATAAAAATATTTAAAAATTATGGGAGGGGGGTTCATTGATCTTGTACATGACATGCAAGGGAGGTTATTCCTTTGTACGTAATTTAAATTTTTTAAATTTATCTTTAGTTCTGTAAAGATCTGTAGCTGGATTGTAAACTACTGAATTATGTTACAATTAATCATTGTTGTGTTGGTTGGTAAAGGTCATACTTGAAATTCCTTCTGAATTTTGTAACTAGATGTACGAGTTCAAATTGTCTTTAAGAAACTATTGTCGACATTTTATTGATTGATACGGCTGAAAATCAAATTAAATACATCAAATAACCAATATTTCATTATGAGATTATTCTTGTATACCAGTCACATGACCTTATACATTGTATGAGGAAACTAGTCATGGTTATGGTACAATTTATCCGTATTACCAACTGTTTCCAGTTATTTATAATATATCATGATAAATTGCCATTCTCACATCTCTGAAACATGGTGGAGAGTTCCGGAGCATCTCAAGCATTGCCCATTTGACTGTGGCCTGTCTGATGTTGGCATCATACTCTCTTGAACTGGCTGTACCTGAAGGTGTTCCTCGAGATCTTTCATATCCAGGTTCATTGAAATATGGCTCATTCACAAGAATCAATGACTGGATGGACACAAGAACCTGAAAACAAACAGTGAAACCCTTAGCCTTGAAGCTGTTGGTGATGACACATAATTGTTTAAGAAACAATACATTGGACCACTAAATGTGTAAAATATAATTTGTAAGAAACGGACATTCAGAGTGAGTGAATTAAGATTTTACTTTACATCGCAAAATGTGCTCGACTGTTTTTCTCTTATCACAAGGGACACAAAAAGGAGGGAGGATCACCTTTTAATAAATATTCATGAGTAAAACGTGTATGGTTACAAAGTTATATATTTAGATACAGTACAACCAGAAATTATTGAGAACTTAAAGATTGCAATTTTTATATTTTTTTCACTCATTACTCACGTATTAAATGTGAATATTAGCAGAACATAACTCCAGATTCAAAGACAGGTGAACAGTTAGTATTTTGTCAAGTCACCATGGGCAGCAATGCAGGCTTCAATGCGGCGGGGCTCACTACTGATCAAAGAAGTTAGAAAGTTGTGGTCCTTACTGGCCCGATATCGGACCACCTCTTCTTTCATTTCAGCAATATTTGTCAGATTTTTCTTATTGACACTTTCCTTCATAAGTCACCAAACGTTTTCTATTGGATTTAGGTCAGGGCTATAGCTTGCCCAATCTAATAATGTAATATTTTGGGTCCGAAACCAGGCCTGTGAATGCTTTTAACGATGTTTTGGGTCATTGTCCTGCTGGAAAATCAAAAAATGTCCATAGAACACATGAGCAGATGGAAGTAAACGTCCCTCAAGAATATCTGTGTACTGCTCACTGTTCATATTCCCTTCAAATACACAGAGGGGAGTTGCCCCTAACACAGATATGCCACCCCACACGTTAAATTTCAGACTGTACTTTGGGCGCTGATACAAAGGTTTTTCAGTTTGTTTGGTCCAGAATTTCAGTGTAATAGGAAACAGCCACACAGAACTTTCATCTGAGAAAATCACATTGTCCCAGTTAAAATTTTTATGCTGTAAGCACCAGTTCAACCTTCGCTCCTTTTGTTCAGGTTTCATGATCGGTGATGGAATTCCTCGATTTTTCTGCCAACCCATTGCATGCAGCTCAGTTCTAATTGTCTCCTTACAGACAGCCACAGTTCCTCTATCAATCATATCCAGCCTTAAGTTTTCTAAACTCCTTCGTTTGTTTTTAGAAACAAGAATACCAAGCCGCCTCCTGTCACCGACAGTCAATTTTCTGGGCCTACCTGGGCCTACCTGCGCCTCCCTGGTGCTCAATGCCATATCCATTTGCAATATTTTTCAAAACACAATAAACAGTGGACAAAGGGATGCCTGTTCTACTTGAAATCACTTTAGCTGATCTGATGTCCTTGTTATAATACTCTAAAATCAACTTCCTCTTCTCTAAATCATCCATACTGAGGATCACTGAAAATATAGTCTGCTAGCAAGTAAACAAAGGGGGATAACTCTTCACAAACTAATGAAAAAGGATTAACGGAGTTGTCTCTCTTGAATGAAACCACGCACTTGATAGCTGGTCAAGGTTGTTTATACTAGAAATCCTATCACCATATTCCTAAAATTCTCAATAATTTCTGGTCATACTATAGTATTGAGAGCTTGCCCAACTTTCTTTAGCAAAAATCATGTGTAAGCCCGGGCTTTCCGGGTGTTATTGAGTATTTGAAGCACGGTAATTCATTTGGAACCGACGGCGTCAGCTGGAGGTTTCAAATGAAATATTCCCGTGCTTTAAATACTCAATAACACCCGGAAATTGGCCAACACATGATGTTTATCGACATTGTAAACACAAAAGTAAACCAAAAGGTCCACACACGTTTTTGTGTCTGCACTCATTGACATAGAGTACGGGTACAGCAGTGCAATGTCATCAGCCAGCCGTCTCCCATGGTAGCATCTGGAACTGCTCATTTGTGATGTCATTCGGACTTTACGTCACAATATGATTTTAATGACGTCATCTCAGCTGACGACGTAACAATACAATGGTGTGAGCGAGGTTTGTATGTATTAATACGCAGCGAATTTCCGGGAATCGAATACCATTTGATCTCGTTTTTCAACCAATCAGATTAAAGAACACAGTGACCCTTTGGTTTACAATGGTAGCTACGCCCCTGCCTGAAGACAGGAAAGAGAGTCAGAGCGGATTATTTTGGGGGTTATTTTGAAACAATTCCTCATAAGGAGGGTGAAAGTGAGTGAGTATGGTTTTACGTGCGTTTAGCAATATTCCAGCACGGCGGGGACACAAGAAATGGGCTTCCCACATTGAACCCATGTGGGGAATCAAACCCGGGGCTTTGGCATGACGAGCCATGGCTTTAACCACCTGGCTACCCTGCCGCCCCAGGAGGGTGAAAGACAATTGTAAGCTGGATTGGATGAGTTTGAACATAACTTGGTAACACACTGAAGTGATAATTTTAAACAGTGCTGTTTAAGTAAAAGCTTGTAGGGCTCAACGTACTAACTCTCTACTGGAGATGTTCTAAACGCACCAAGACAGAGCCTCAGTCCTTGGTGGTGTAAACTATATAATTTTTGTAAATGACTTTTAGAAGCAGTGTCGTATACAATTGAACTGAATTCTAATTTAGAACGAATAAGGGATCTGTACAAATAGAGAAAAGTTGTCTGAACCCATCCCCACTTAGAACTGGCAACAACTTTTAAGAGATTAAGAAACTTCAAGCACTTAGTTTTAAGATGTATAATGTAAGGTACAAATGTAATGACACTAAAAATAACACCCAAGAACTTGGTCTCCTCAACAACTCTGATATGGTACCATTTGACAGAAGTTGTGGTCTATAATTCCTATCAAGATGTGTGCAATTTGTCTTAATCATGAAAAATTTAGAGCCATTCTTAGTGACCATGTTTGAAGTTTTTTTAGGCAAAGCTGCAGTTGTCTTTCTATTGTGTGCATATTTTTAACTTTTGAAGTCATCTACAAACAGTCAACCATCAACTGAGTCATTCATTACTTTGGAGAAGTGTTGTTTTTTTTTAATGCTGAATAATAATACTGCCTTGTGGGACACCCTGATCCTGATTATAATGCTTTGACAGGGTTGATCCAACACAAACTTGAAATTGTCTGTTAGTTAAAGAGTGAGATACAAACTAACGCAAACAACCTCTCAATCCGAAAGTTCATAATAATCTCTTAAAATTCCATGCTTCCAAGTTGTATTGCAAGCTTTTTCTAGATCAAAAGAGATAGATGCAGCATGTTGTTTATTTACAATGGAATCTTTTAGGAACGATTCTAACGCACAAGGTGATCAGTGGTCCTTCTATTTTTTCAAAAACCACATTGAATATCAGTAATGAGATGATTGGTTTCAAAGTACCAGACTAATTCATTATACTAGACTAATCAATAGTTTTTGCAACTCATTAGAAACATAAGATGGTAATTTGATGGATTTGTATGATGTCAGCCGGGGTTTTGGTATGGGGATAACAATTATGTTTTGCCACAGAGAAGGAAAATTCCATTATGTCCATCATCACAATTCCCGTATTCCCATATCAGACAATATGCATGGTATCAAAATGATGTAGTTTTATTACGTATCTGATTGTGCCTCAGATTACACAGTATGGCTTACCTGCAGAAAGCTTGAAGTCTGAGAGTTCCACTTTTCCTCTGGTCGGCCATGCCAGGTGTTCAACACACTCAGGCAAACCTTACAAGAAATCAAGCAATTGTATTGTATCAGCCCATATAGTCAAGTATTTTACACACATAGCAAGACAGACTTCTATTTACAAACATGATATAAGTCTTTCAGGCACAATTGTAATTACTTCAAGTATAGTTTCAAGGCACAAAGATTGTCTATTTAAAGCTTAAAAAGTGTTTGCCAGCACTTACAAAAAACAGAAACAGACCTCTCTCAGCTTTTCTTAGAAGACACAAGATTTCCATACATACCACCATATATTTCTAGTGAGGTATTGTTATCATTTGTTTTGGGAAAAATATGCGTACATAACCTCAAATCAGACTAAAGAATTCACCTCAAGGTTAGAGATCGAGGAATCTGAATGATTTTCCATTCCCTTCCTGAATCATTTTTGGTTCGGCAAATACACGAAAAAGCAAAAGAATTTCACAGCAGAAAATCTTGACAAGAATCTATTGACTTCTTAGAAACTGAGAAATGGGATACTTGGATATTGGAAATTTTAAATATAAATTGTATATTTATATACTTATCCTATCTCACGACTTGCACTTCCCTCTGCTACTTCGACACTGAGTGAAACGACTGAAAACTTATTCCTTAGGCCTCCTTGTCCATTCGCCCGTGTACTCCATGGCATGCTGCTCCCCTTATCGGACAGCTACCTGGTCCCATCAGAGTGTACAGCACGCTCCACTACCTGCCCACGTGACTACCTCCGAGTGATCATTCTCTTTCACTGTTGTAATCTAAGTAGAGGGGAGGACGGGCAGGTATCCATCGCGTGAGATAGGATAAGTATATAAATATACAATCTATAGTTAAAATTTCCAAATTTTTAAATCTCATGACTTGAACTTATCCAATGGCTGGATGGCGGGCCGCAGATTACCCTGTGTCAGCCAGCGCAACAGTAATACTTTAGAGACTGAAAAACAACCATAGATATAGATGCACAAAGGAGACCTGTTACGAATGCATGCAACTCCTATGCTTGTGATGGGTTATCCTGGCCTACTAAGCACGACTCCCGGTGAGATTGGTGCTCCCAAGCGATGTGGTGTTCGGCCCAACCTTCGCATACACTAAGGGACGCAACTAAGCAAGTACGCCTCGCTTTCCAAGCTACCCCCGTAATTAATGTCTCAAGACAAGAATCGGGCCAGCCCCTGCTTCGAAACAGTCCCAACAGACACCATCATGTAGAGGTGAAAGGAAAACTGAATCGGTATGCTCACAAGTCTTAACTTTCAGTTCCGGGACAATATCAAATTGACCCTCATTCCTTTGCATAAGCTTAATCAAAGGATGTGCCCAACGACGTAGGAGCTAGAATGCAATGAAATCCACTGGAATTCAGGAGAGACTCGCTTCACTGACGCAATTGCTCTGTAGAGTAGAGGTCAATAAGCAAGAAGGTGGAATACTTCCGCATTGCAGTACAATACTGTTCCTCAAGTCTATTCAGTCATATCCAATGGCAGTAATACAATGCCTTAGCAGTGAAACCAAGTGAAGCAATTCTTAATCCCATAAGAAGCCAGAACAAAGACTAACATAAAGTTCAGACTTTTATTCAGGAATACAAGGAACCAGAAACCGAACGCGGAACTGTCCCTCATCTGCATTGGTAAATACTATCTGGTTGTCCTTGCAACTGGTTCACCGCGACAAGGTCCCAACATAGAACCAGGAAGACCTTGCCATGTTGCGATTAACATCAAGTGCATGAAGCTCTGATATACAAACTGCAGTAGCCAAGGCTACCAGGAAGGAAGTCTTGAATGTAATCTGTTCAACTCTAACTCCTTGTCTTCCAGAGGTTCATACTCTCCAGAAACCAGATGACGAAGGATGACGGAGAGATCCCAGGCCCGAGGTCAAAACTTCTAGACTGTCAGTGAGCATAACAAGTACTGAAGCTCAGGAACGGTGGAAATCTTGGTACCCATAGTAGTAGTTGATGGCAGTTAAATAAGTAGTCAGTGTAGTACCCTTGAGTTTCTTGGTAGACCAAAGATGTTGGAGAAACTCAGCGACAACCTGCGCAGAAGTGGAAGTAGGGATGAAATTCCCCTGGCCTTGCAATAAACTTTTACCATTTATCGTCATACAACAAGCAAGTTGATGAACGGTGTACTAAGTATTAGCTGTAGCCACCCAATGAGATTAGCCCTTGGCTATCAGAGACTTCTAAAGATGCGCCAGATGTGAAGACAGGGTCTGAGGAGATGCGAGATGGTCGGGAAGCGGTACTGGGTTTGGCTCTGCCAGGTTTCTTAGGTCGACAAACCAACATCTCGCTGGCCAAAAGGGCATGACCAAACGCAGACGTATCCTGCTGATGGTCCAAAGTTTCTGTAGTATTCTTGGTAGTAGAGTTGGAGGAGAAAACGCATACGCTTTTAGGTTTTTACATGATATTGCCAACGCATCAAGGTCCCATGACAGAGGGTCTGGAATCGGGGAAACGAACATGGGAAGTAGTGGCAAACAGGTCTATTTGGGGCCGTGATAATGGCTAGATCATCGACCAGAAGATCTGAGGAAGCAGTTTCCATTCTGTGGGTGACGGGCGGTTGGAGAGAAACAGGGTGTCAGCGATCACATTCTTCATTCCGGGAATGTGTCTGGCACGGGCGACGATGTTGAGTATGTTGATGAGGTGAAAGAATCAAATTGCCCACTGAAGGAGGTGTGCCGAGCCTGTCGAACCCAGATGGTTCACATACCAAACCATGGTCAAGTTGTCAGACTGGATGAGGGGACAGGATGATCGAAATCCAAGAGCCCAGTGTTTGATGGCTAGAATTACAGCCTTGAATTCTAGTTCATTCATGTGCAGAGCCTCTTTCCCGGATGACCACAACCCAGCCACTTGATAGTCGAAAAACGTCACTTGAGGGACGCGTCTACGAACAGATGAGTTAGAGAGAACAGCATTATAGAGACTCCGGCGCAAACATTCTGTTCTTTGAGCCACCACTGAAAGACCGGACGAAGTGGTTCAGGAAGTTGAATCAACTCCTCGGGGTCGTTGGCCTGAAGAAATGGTCGAATGAACTGCTGTATCGGCCGAAGTTGTAGCTGGACTCTGTAGGTTAGGGCTTCTGCCGATGTCAAGAAGCCCAACAATTCTCGACACTGGCGAGCGGCTCTTGTCTGTGACAGTGTCAGTGGAACGCAACGCTGAATTTTGGCCCGTCCGTCCGGGGTAACATTCCCTGACGGTTGTCGAACACTGCGCCGATGAATTGGAGTCGTTGAGTTGGTGTTAACTCCGATTTCTCGACGTTCAACAGCCACCCTAACTGCCCGAGCAGCTTGATGGTGAACTGAAGATGCTGTAGTAGAACGACTACATCCTGCTGAGCTGTATCGTCGATATAACTTTCGAATGTAATTCCTCACCGATAAAGAAAGTTTATTATAGGCTTGGTAATTCGGGTGAAAAGCCACGGGGCCATGGAAATTCCAAATAGCAGGACTCGCCATTGATAGTTGTTCCCCACGAAGACAAAGCTAATGTATTTCGGATGCCCTGGGTGAATTGGCACGCGGCAGAAGTCTCCCTTCTTCAGAATGGAGCAAATTAGACTGATTGATACCATCCTGAAGTGGGATGGTAAACGTCCTGATCTGATAGGGCGAGCTCCAAGGCGGCAGCAACAGCATCCAGTTAAGATGATACAGTTAATAGGTGGCAAAGTACGGCGCACTGCACAATCCATATCGGCTAGTTCTCTTATCTGCCACTAAGAACGGTGAACTAGGACGTTTACCATAAAGTGTGGAGATATCTTCATCCACAGGGGAGTGGTGGACAAAATGGTCATACCATGAGTGTGAGTGGCAGCCGGAGGATATCTAGGCGCTGAGAGTCCGTTCTTTGTCCTCTTAAGACTCTTGAAAGCCTGATCTAGTGATGTAGATAACTGTAAAATGCATGGATGTGGAGGTAGAGTGATGGTAGATACATTCCTGTTCTTAATGGCATAAGAGTGACATTCAGTGATCTGCTCAAGGGAAGGTGTAGCTTTTCAACAATCCATGCTAGGATGTGACATGGCTCAAGCAAATCATAACTACCCTTCAAGGTAAACAAGAAGACAAAGTCATCGATATCCCCCGCAATGGCAAAATACTCTTCATGATTATGTCTACGAGTTATGATTATGTCAAATATTTAGGTGTGTATATAGAAAAGTGGAAGGAGAGTATTGAAAGGTTTTTAAAGTTCTGCTCCAGAAAGGAGCACTATCACAATTTCAGGCTAAGTCAAACTTGTTGCTATGGAAACGCCAAAAATATTTTATTCAGAATTCCAAAACTACCAAAAGGCACCAGTACACCACCAGATCTATCTATGTGCCAAGTTTGGTGAAGAAATAGTGAATGGTTTTAGAGTTCAGCTCCGGAAAAGAGCACTACCACAATTTCAGGCTAAGTCAAACTTGTTGCCATGGAAACGCCAAAAATATTTTATTCAGAATTCCAAAACTACCAAAAGGCACCAGTACACCACCAGATCTATCTATGTGCCAAGTTTGGAGAAGAAATATTGAACGGTTTTAGAGTTCTGCTCTGGAAAAGAGCACTACCACCAATTTCAGTCTAAGTCAAACTTGTTGCCATGGAAACGCCAAAAATATTTTATTCAGAATTCCAAAACTACCAAAAGGCACCAGTACACCATCAGATCTATCTATGTGCCAAGTTTGGTGAAGAAATATTGAACGGTTTTAGAATTCTGCTCTGGAAAAGAGCACTACCACTAATTTCAGTCTAAGTCAAACTTGTTGCCATGGAAACGCCAAAAATATTTTATTCAGAATTCCAAAACTACCAAAAGGCACCAGTACACCACCAGATCTATCTATGTGCCAAGTTTGGTGAAGAAATATTGAACGGTTTTAGAGTTCTGCTCCGGAAAAGAGCACTACCACTAATTTCAGTCAAAGTCGAACTTGTTGCTATGGAAACGCCAAAAATATTTTATTCAGAATTCCAAAACTACCAAAAGGCACCAGTACATCACCAGATCTATCTATGTGCCAACTTTGGTGGAGAAATATTGAACGGTTTTAGAGTTCTGCTCCGGAAAAGAGCACTACCACCAATTTCAGTCAAAGTCGAACTTGTTGCCATGGAAACGCCAAAAATATTTAATTCAGAATTCCAAAACTACCAAAAGGCACCAGTACACCACCAGATCCATGTATGTGCCAAGTTTGGTGAAGAAATATAGAACGGTTTTAGAGTTCTGCTCCGGAAAAGACAAATGTGGACGGACGGACGGACGGACGACGACGCACGGACGCACGCACGGACGGAGTCCATTTTAATACCCCCCGCAAAACGCGTTGCGGGGGATAAAAAGTCTGAACATCAAGGAGACGGCGAAGGGATGTTCATTCGCCTGGGATGAGACGACGGGTCAGCCAGCCGAGGTAGTAGGTAATGATTGTGAAGAGTGTTCAGCCTGGCATAGTGAATTAGTATGCTGACGCCTGATGATTCAATCAGTCTTGGCGAATAAGTCTGGGTAACGTGATTAGGTTCGGCCTGGAGATTCACTACGGCGATGAGATCCGATACGGTAAGACGAACTGGTTGGGCTGTGAGAATCAATATGGCTTAGTGAGTCCGAACGGCGATGAGACTCAGTGCGGCTTGGTGAAACAGTCCGACCACGTACATCCGTTCGGTATGCTGATACCATACGATCATAAAGTCCAGATCCGATAGGTGAATCGATTCTGTGAGGTGAATCCATTCGGCTGTGTGAAATACTCCGTTGTGGTCAGTTGATTCGATTGTATGAATCATTCCGACCGTGTGAGACGGTTCGCTGAGGTGAAACATTTTTTGCCATGAGGATCAGTTCGTAGTGACAAATCAGTTTAATCATGTGAATCGTTCGGCGTGGAGAATTAGTTGGGTCCAGTGACTCGTTTCGGTTTCGTGAATTAATTCAGCATGGTGAATCAGTTCGATATGGTTGTTCAGTTCGGCGTGTAGACAAATCAGAACAGCGATGAGAACTGGTGTGGCCAGCAGACCTGGAGCGTCGGGACAATGATTCACGGCAGTGAGAGACGGATCGCTGTGAATGAAATCGCAAAGGAGATCTAATATGATGATACGAACTAGTCTGAGACTGCGATCTTGAGCAGCTTGATGAATGTGACTGGCCTGAAGAGCTGGAACAATGTTCTAGCCATAAAACACTTGAACGAACAGGCGAATCCAAGCGTTTGTCAATGCTTTTCCCAAGTGCATTGACTGATACAATCCATGCACGAAAGGTGAGGGTCTAATGTCGAAAAAATCGTTTTACATTGAGCGCAGAACTTGCATTTCTTCGAAGAAGGATTCGATTTTCCCATCGCAAAAAGCAATCATAGAACACAAAATGTTATAGAATCCACACAGGAGTGAGACAAGAAAGAGAATGATCACTCAGAGGTAGTCACGTGGGCAGGTAGTGGAGCGTGCTGCACACTCAGATGGGACCAGGTAGCTGTCCGGTAAGGGGAGCAGCATGCCATGGAGTACACGGGCGAATGGACAAGGCGGCCTAAGGAATAAGTTTTCAGTCGTTTCACTCAGTGTCGAAGTAAGAGAGAGAGGAGGTGCAAGTCGTGAGATAGCATAAGTTTAACAATTCTTACTTTAATCAAATACAGAAATATATTAATGCTTGCAATTGTCAAACAATGTCAGCTAAAGCGTGGAACATTTGTACGAACAAAGGTTGTCAACGGCAACAGATTGTGTTCAAAATCTGATATCTGACAAATCTAATTCAGTTTATGACTGCAGTTCTGGCATCTACCATATAAATACCTACCTTGCCATCATTGTATAGGTTGGGGTTGAAGCGTATGGTGTGGTTCCCTGTTGTCTCAAGGTTTATGTATGGAGGGGAGTTAGGATAATCTTGTGGAAAGTAGACATCAAACTCAAAACATCCATTTGTGTAGGGTGTATCTGAAGGACCAGTTATCAGCACCTGAAATGTATATATGGTTCACAAAATCTCTGAGCAGTGCTGCCATTATTGTATAGGTTCTTCACTTAAATGGAATATGATAACAGTTATATTTTACAGCCATTACATGAAGTCACTTTTTCTGCCTACCTTCATGATGTCAAGCCTTTCCTCATCACAGCGGACAAATACACTGCTGCTGGCTGACAAGGGTAAGGAAGTGGACAGAGTGACTGCTTCTTGTGCAAGGCGCCTTGTCCTCGATGCACTGTTAATTTCTCCAGCTGCCTTCACATTTGACTCAAAGTGATGAGGAACCAAAAATTTCAGTCCCCCAGTTTCTTCGGTAACCATTTCAAAGGTATCTGTAATATTTACACAAATTTCATGAAGACAATAGTTCAGTCAAAGTGGGTATCGTCTCCAACAGTTACAGAGATATCTGTAAATCAGGATGCCATGACTGATCTATATTACAAGGCCTTTCTCATCCCTTCAATAAAACTGGAACCATATACATGATATTCTTGTTGAACATTAGATTATTGCTCATAATGGTATATGTAGAATTTATGGGTTGACAATGTCTACAAATAACAAAATGGACAGAAGATGCATACCAAACTGCAATTCCTTCATAGACATCATGTACTTCTCCTCCAGGGTGTGGAAACATTTAGCACGATCCCGATCACTGGCCTGTGCACTTGAACTGTCTGTGTCGTCTACAAAAACATAACTTGACATTTACATCAACTGATTTAGTCATATATTCTTTGGCTAAATGGGACATTTTAGAAGTTGATCAAGGCTTCTTCAAAAGGGCTGGTGTTTCAATTATACTCATGTTTAATCATCAAAAGCTTTAGTCTAAGAGTCACTTTCTTCCAACCATAATTTTGGAATTTCCAGCTTCACTTTGAACATAAGATGCTGCAAACAGGGTTGGTAATTTCATACATTCTGGGCTTCATTAAGCAGGGGACGGGGAACCAATATTTTGCAGTAAATTACATTAAAGTCCAACTTGATTTTTTGGGACTAAGTCCAAATCATATCCATGGAAATCATGACAAATATAAATGCCAAAAATCTGCAAATAGCAAAAGGCACCACTTCAAGATCTGTTTGATATATCCGGCAAGTTTTACTGAAAAATATCAAATGGTTTTCGAGGTACGCTCTGGAAACAAAGCCCACCCCTCACTTTTGAGACTAGGTCCAAAACGTTTCCATGGAAATCAAGAAAAATAACAATAGTCATCAGAAGATGACATATCCCCCCAATATCACCCCATATTTGAAAGAACATAGAGAGAGAGAGAGAGAGAGAGAGAGAGAGAGAATAAACGGTTTTCGAGTTATGCTCCAGAAACAAAATGATGACAGATGGACGAGGCGTTGACTATATCCCCCCGGCATGTAATAAAAACTGCTAGTGGCTGCCAGGCTGTTGTGTAAACTCAACAGATTTACTAATGGTATAATAACAGTCTAAACACTTATCAATTTCTTAGAAATTCTGAAAAATATATAAATATTCTCTCATAACTTTCTACTATCAATTGTCTTTGACATACTTTGAAATGGCATAAATGCAACATATAAGATATTTTTAAGCTACGTGCATAGATCTTTCTACACAATATTTTGAAACATGATATACCTAGCCTGGTACATATCAGAAATTTTTCAAACAAATTACAAACTATCTATTATAAGAAACTAACCAATTGTATCTCTAACTCTGTCTGTAGCTACTCTGACAATGTGTGCTGTGTCCTGAATGTCAGGTATGAGAAGAGCAAGTCCTTCATTTTCTTCTTCTTCCATCTTGGCTGGTGTAGGTGTAGTAGATGAACACCCATTTTTGCCTTTGTTTGATCTACAGCGTACAAAATAAATATATAATTCTGGTTTAAACAACATAAGTTATTTTGTGCAAAACTTACTTACAAACACAAGTTTTGAAATCTCAAATGATGCACAATCAAACTGAACATTATGCACCAAAATATGTGGAAGAAATATGCAAATATGACTGACTGAGTTTGGTTTAACGCCGCTTTTAGCAATATTCCAGCAACATCACGGCGGGGGACACCAGAAATGGGCTTCACACATTGTACCCATGTGGGGATTCGAACCTTCAAATATGAAACTACTGAGGGAAAGCATGAGGCTGCATACTGAACAATTCATTTTCACCATTGACTGACACTTAGAAAGGCAAAACAATCCCTCACATAATGTTAGTTATATGTTTCACATGAGGACAGACCACATAATGAATGTGCATGCAAAACCACATCTCTCCTCGCCACCCCCATCCCTATAATTTGGGATTGTTACTCTTTCATTCTTACTAGGCAGGTAGTGAACCATTCATTACAGGGCACCCTGCAGTTTCACCGAATCCGTGGTATCGCAAATGGCATATGACTGTATTTGTTGATATAGGCAAGTTGATCAAAATTAAACTTTGAGGTCAAATATTAAGAGGCAAGAATTTTGAAATATATTATCTATCATAAAATAGCATTTTTAATAGTTTAGAGGAGGGGCTTTTTTCTGTTACTTGAAGCTTTAATGATACAAAACAAAGGAAAACATTAACCTGTCTCTCATATTGTATGTATTTTGTGTTTTTTCAAAACTTTAATTTCTCATAATATACATAACATGGCATAAAATGACACACAAGTTCATAGTGAGACAGGGCACATCATTATATTTTACAATATTGGGACTATAAAATCTAAATTGTAAAACAGATATGTAAACAAAAATATATTGCCTACCTACCCATCCTAATTTTTAAACAGCTGTTATCAGGACAGCATTTTTTCTGTGTGGCCTTACTCTTGATAACCTACCCATAGTAATACAGTAAAGAAGTACACTACATGTACGTTAATGGCTTAAATGAAAGATGTCATGCACATTAACTTGATGAATTTCAGAAATGACAACGAATGCGAGTTTTCCCAAGCACAACTGATCTGAATCACTAAAGCATGAGGTATGGACTGGCTGATCACATGTGATCCAGGCAGTGTGTTTGATTTGACCCATTTCAGACCTTGTTTGGGAACAGTTCTCTCATGGGATGACCTTTCCAGTCATGTTTTCGACATGAATCAAAAGAGTATATTTAATGCCGAACAAGATAAAAATAATTTGAAACTGTATAGGCAGACTTTGATAGTATAACAAAATAACCTTAGGCGACTGGCATATGTGTCAACACAGCCTTTCATCTTGTCCAGAAGAACCTCAATGGCAGTGGCTGAGTCTGGGGCCCCATCCTTCTCCAGTGGGCGGAGGAGGGGTACAAGGGAAGGACTGACAGCTAAACCTCGCAGAAGTTCCAACAGTGCTCGATATAATGGTACATGACGAGCCATATCCAAGACTGAGTCATTCCTCAAGTAGGATGATATAGCTGGCACCAAGCAGGACTGGGAGAGCAGATCCAACATTACTTCTGGAATAAGGCTTTTCTCTGAGGGAGGTGCATAGTTGGCATTATCAAAATCTTTTGGTAACTGACCACCAGCATTGATGTAACTTCCAAGAACCTAAAAATACAAGAAAAAAATGAAACGTGACACATAAAAGACATCTCAAACTATATACCTAGTACAATTAATCAAATAAAAATGCATTTCCAGTTGACCTGCATGGTGTAAGACACAAATGCTTAAACCTATTACCCAATGTCCCATACAAAGTTACATATAGCAAATGGCCTGCATATTGTACCTGCAAGAGACATGTGACATGTTCTTCTTCGCTTCTTTGTCTCAATAAGGCCTGTTCAGCATCCCAACTTGATGTTGTGGAACCTGTCCCAAACCCTGTACCTTTGGCCCAGTAGTGTTGTGTCTTCTCCTCTGTCTGGCTCAATGGAAGGTGGTTGGCTGATGACGTCACCTGCTCAACAGCCAAGGTAGCATGAGTCTTGGTGAAAGGGAAGTACCCTTTCATTACCATTCTCACACAAACAGCTTGAGCCCCAATACGGTTTGTCTTGAAGTGTTCTGCTCTAATACTTTTCTTTGGCTTTTTTATTCCTTTACACTGAGGTGATATATATGTATACATATAAACCAATTTATACATTATCTGGGTGTGACAGAATTCATTGCAGAGTGGCAGCACATTGCAGAGAATAGATTTTCCTGACTAGGACTTAGATTAGCTGATGTCAGATTGGATGGGGGAACACCTGGCTCCCCCGAGTATGTCTGTATGTCTGAAATCTTACTGGGCTCCTGAGTAATTTTTGCAGGAGTACAATCTGGGGTTCCTTTCTTTGCCCTTTTATATACTAAACCTCAAAAGAAACGCAACTTGAATTGCAAATGCCAACAAATGTTAATTTATGGAACACATAATTTGAACATTATGAATAAACAACAGACAAGTAAACGTTGAAGAAATGGGTAGTGGTCTCTGGTGAAAACAACACTAATGTTTATTGAAAAAGCACTTGTCACCACTCCACCCCCAAACACAAAAAATGTCATGAAACAGTGTCTCCATCAGTAGCGGGTGTGACCCCCATTGGCTGCAATACACGCAGTACAGCGTCGTCTCATTGAGTCAACAAGTGTCTGGAAGAAGGCTTGGGACATTTGATTCCTTTCTCTGACCAATCTGGCTTCCAAATCCCTAAGGTTTAGTGGTGGACCAGCTGCCTGTATCCGTCTTCCAATGTCATCCCACACATGCTCGATCGGTGCCATATCCGGGGACAGAGAGGACAGGGCACTACAGCAATGTTGTTCCCTCTCAGGAAGTCCATAGAGACCCGTGCTGTGTGAGGATGAGTATCATCCTGCTGGAAAACCTGGAGCTGAGGCTGCGCCTAGAACAGCGGTACAACGTGGTTTTGAAGAATTTCGTTTCTATAGACTATGACAGTCACACGTTGACGAAACACGTGCAAAGGTATTCTCTGGTGGTAGCTGAAGCCACCCCACACCATGACGCTATCTCCTCACCAGCGGTCAGCCTCCAGGACGCAGCAGTTGGCGTAACGCTCATTACGTCGTCTCAATACATGGAATCGGCCTTCGGCGTGTGACATGTGGAATCTCGACTCATCAGAAAACAACACTTGTTGCCATTGTTGACGTCGCCAATGCTGGTGTTGTCGAGCCCACTGTAAACGATGGTGGCGGTGACGTTGTGTAAGTATTGGTCTGACGTAAGGACGGCGACATCTGATCCCGCTGCCCTCAGTCGACGACAAACGGTGTCTGCAGAAATGTTACGGTGTGGCCCTTGAATGGTTGCAGCCGTCTGTGATGCTTGTTGTTGTGGGGTACGCAGATGAGTAACCTGGATGTGACGATCTTGACCTGGCGTTGTTACTCTCGGACGTCCTGAGCGTGGCCGGTCTTGAACATTTCTGGTTTGTCGATGCCTTGCGGAGAGTCTGGTGATTGATGTCACGTGACATCCGAAGTGCCTGGCCACCGCAGTTGCTGTTGATCCGGTCAGCAACATTCCAATGGCGATCCCTCGCTGCTGTTGCGTTAGAAGTGGCATGTTTTTTCAGGGTTCTTCAAGTCGATTTTGTGGTGTATGGTGTTTTTTTTTAATGACCTGCCTTATAAAGGATTCAACTGGATTGAAATGCTCGCATTGTTGTGTGAAACGTTAATAAATCGTGCAGGAAACACCCAAAGCATGAAAACAATCGCATTCGGGCGATATGGTCAAGAATAACCGGAAACAACGGCAAAACCATCTTGGAATGAGTGGTTTCATCATGGGATAGTTTTTCCCCCTTTAATAAATTTATTTGAAGCGCATGTTTTTCACAAAGTAAGTTGCGTTTATTTTGAGGTTCAGTATATAATCATCGCATATTTCTCAAAGGCTTCAGAAGACAGTGTTTGACTAAAGAACATAGCATGGCCACACAATCCCAGCAGTCATAATGTGGATCTTGCTGAGACATAATTTTACCATAAGCAGCACATTTTTTTGTACCGAAAGGGGAAGCAGAGATGAGTCTAGATCTTTAAGATTTACCCATTATAATAGGGAAATGAACAGAAGAAAGAGGAAATCAGTTCAGAGAACAAGTGACACTAAAGGACAAGAGTAGTCTGTTCAGTTTATCAATCATGGGAAAACATACTGACATTTCACATTTGGTACTGTAACCAAGCTAGTAAAGTCAAATGGATACAAATTGTTGGCAAGACTCCTTTTAACTACAGATGCAATGGCTATCCATGAATATAAACGCGAGTAACTTCCTACCTCCTGCTGGAATGTCCCTGAGGTGATCCGAGGTGCATGGTGACTCAGTACTGACAAACAAGCCAGGATAAGATGAACTGCGCCTATATCAAGAGCCATTCGTCTCAAAAGTACACCATCATCTGTTGTCAGTGGAGTGGCATCAAACAGTGACTTAAGCACAGTGAAAGGCAATGTAGGTAAGGAGTTGGCCAGAGGTGAAGTTAAAATGTGACCTGAAAAAATGTAACAAGTATGTAACAATGAAAAGAACAGTACTATCAGGTACCAATTATAAGTGGAAACTCATGAATATTGTATTAAATTTTAACAGCCATAAAAGACAAGTACCTCCATCTCCGTCATCTGTGACTCCCAGAACAAGTCTCAATAGACACTGTGCCTTCTTTCTCTCTTTCAGCAGGACTTCAGCATAGCCTGGTAGCCGAAGGAACAAGCCAAATGCAATGAGCGAGTGAGGAGGTATGGAAGGCATGCCCGAAGAAGAGTGGCGAGCAGTCCTCTGTGCAGTTGGGGCAGGAGAAACTGGTTCCACATATGGCTGCAAAAATATTATATTCATCAATAATGGTTACTGGCATTGAATCTCTTTAGGAAATAGATGGCAAAATACAAACCTGTGTAAGATTCAGTTGAATCTGCTAACCCTGTCCACCCCCAAATTTATAATTGCACTTTCCTACAGCTCACAAACATGCCAACAGAGGCAAGTACATAACAATAATAATTTTAGTAAAATCTAAATATTTTTTATATTTGTATACTTATCCTGCACTACTTACTTCCTGCACTTATTGCTTACGGCTCGAAAAGCGTGGCTTGCCAGACGATGTCAAAAAGACGTAGAACTGCAATCACTTCCTGGTCTCGGCTGCTTACTCGTCTGCGCATGCGTCACCGGAAGGTGACGTCAGCCACCTCAGATTATTGCTTAGAAATCCCACAGATGGCAAAACTAAGCGGGGAGGTAGCTGATAGCACAGGGTGGGCCCTTATCATAAGTAGTGCAGGATAAGTATACAAATATAAAAAATATTTAGATTTTACTAAATTTTTAACTAATCCTGCACTACTTACTTCCTGCACTTTATCCGACAGGCTGGAAGGTGGGCGTGTCATCTGAGGGATCGCCTCACTTACGTAATAGCAGCCAGCTCAATCCGTAATCCCGTGCTTTCGGAAGCGTTGATAACGCGCCTATAACAGAGAGCTTAATTAGCGAAAGTGACGATCAGGTAGCGGTAATTCGCAAATAAGACTGCGTCTTAAATGAAAAGAACCCACTAATTTTAAAGCTGGCGAAGCTTAAGGAATGCAGCAAAAAGCATGGACTTGAAAAAACAAGGATAACTCCTTAACTGACATACCTAGTTGTTTGTGAAGAAAAACAACTCATTCCCCACATGGTCCGTGGAAGGAAACACAAGGCAGGAGGGTCACTTTCTTCGGAATGGCGAAGTTGCTGAGCAACCACCAATGGTCGAAGCTGTGGACATCATTAACGTCCTTGACAGCCATGTCAATGAAGTAATGACTGGCAAACACTGTGTCCGACCGCCAAAACAACCTTGCATAATGGATGACACAGTGCAATTACTGTGAAGTGCCATAGTCGAAGCAAGTGCTCGAATCTCGTGGGGATGAGAGGACGTAGGAGGGTCCAGCCCAGCAGCTTTATACGCCTGAAGAATGGTTGTTCTTAACCATAAGGCAATAGTGTTTTGCTGACATCTGACTCGCGGCGCCGGGACAGTGGAAGAAATAACCGTTTCCTTGTACCACGAGCTAACTTTGGTGTGATCAATGTAAGTTTTGAGCGCCATCGAATCGGACATAGCAGTAATTCCGCATCGTCTTCAGAGCCAACAATAGATGATAATGGCGGGATGGAAAACTGGCGATCAGGTTGACCTGGTAGTTGGTTTTTAGTGATGAAATCCCAACACAGACCTAAGTGCACAGAACCATGACGACGACGTTCAAACTTGATCCTAGTCACGTCAAGGGCGTGAACCTCACTCACTCTAGCCGCAGTCGCTAATGACAACAGAAATGCCGTCTTCCTGGATAAATCAGTGAGGGAAGCGTTATCAAGAGGTTCATAAGGTGCACCACGGAGATGGTCTAAAACAGTGTTGAGATTCCATGCCGGGCGATCTAAACTTCAACTTCTGGTCTTCAAGTCGGAATGAGCGAAGCATGGCCTGTAATTCTGGGATTTTGGAAATCCTTCTGTCAGTGGGAATCGCTAAAACAGAGCTAATTGCGTAAACACATTGGCAATGGTGCCTCCCTTCAGACGCCTGGACGCTCGGAGATAAAGTAAGAAATCTGCTATGAACTGAGGAGACACAGTCAGCGGATCCTGCTTCTTGGTAACACAAAAACGTTCAAACGACTGCCACTTGTCGTCATACAAATGTCTAGTAGAAGTTCTGTGCACCGTCGCAATGGCTTTGGCTGCTCTAGCCGAAAAACCCTTAGCACTCAGTGCTTTCTGCAAATGGTCCATGCGTGCAGATTGAATCAGTCTGGAGCCGGATGCGGGAAGACGGCTGTGAGGGTGCACGAGAACGTTCCTCCACGGGTAGAGGGACGGGATCTCCTACCACTAGACTTTGTAGAACGGAAACCAGTTCCTGGCTGGCCACCAAGTGACGACCAAAATTAGTAAGTAAGCAAGTTGTCTCCTTGACTTTGGCGAGAACTTTGGGTAATAGAACTGGTGGCGGAACGCATGCTCTGCGTGAAGTCCCTCCCAAGATAGGTTGAGAGCATCCACCGCCCAAGCCGCTGGATCTGGGACTGGGGACACATACACTGGCAGTTGATGGTTTTGGCTGGTGGCAAACAGATCTATGTTTGGAGAACCCAGTGCGTGACTTAAGAGAGTGAAGGCCTCCTTTGTAGCATCCACTCCGTGGGAGCAACTCTGTCGGGTCTCGAGAGGCGCCTGCTAGTATATTGCGGCACCCCAGAATATGCCGAACTCTCAACAGAATGTGGAGATCGTCGACCAGTTGAAAGAGCCGAAAGGTCTGATCGAGGAGAAGATGTGAGTGTGTCGAACCTTGCCTTCGTCAGATGTACCATACGACCGCGTGGTGTTGTCTGTAGCCACTAGAAGACAAGTTCCTCGAGTCGATGTGCCCAATGATGAATAGCGAGGATCATGGCCTCCAACTCCAGACTGTTTATATGCCAGTTGATGTGTTGACCCGACCACAGGCCGGAGGCTGTCTGGTCGCGTGTAAGTGAGCGCCCAACCCTGCAGGGAGGCGCCCACGAACAGTTGGCAATCCGGAGGCTGCTCTGTCAAAGAGACTCCTCCTAAGACGTTCAATGGGTGAGTCCACCAAAGAAGATAGCGATGTAACTGAGGTGGAAGGCAAAACCGTTGATGAATGTCTGCCCGACAAATGTATGGTTGAAGAAAACGCTGCAGAGGACGAAGTTGAAGACGCCCTCTGCTGGTAAGATCCTGCGCCGACGCCAACAATCCCAGAAGTGACTGCCACTCTCTGAGGGACAGAGGTTGGGAGAGCGACGGAATCAGAGACTGAATCTTGTCCCACCTGTCCAGGGAATCTGAACTAGGTTCTTGTCCGCCTGGAAATGGCCTCCGATGAACGCCAGAGTGTGAGTCGGGACAATCCGATTTGTCCAAGTTGACCAGCCACCCTAGTTGGCTTAACAGACTAAGGGTGAAATCCCGTTGTTGTATAAGAAGTAGACGGTCTAACAGGTGCATAAGGCAATCGCCCAGGTGCGGTCGAAATTGATGCCCGTCAAATGCAGATACCGGAAATAGGAGTTGTGATACGGTGAACAACCAGGGGCCGTTGAAATTCCAAATGGGAGGACAGCCCATTGGAAATGTTGATTGTTGAAAATAAAGCGCAGGTACTTCCTGTCGCTGGGGCGATTGGAACATGGAGGTATGCATCCTGTAGGTCCAGGCTGATGAGGAAGTCGTTGGACGATACCATAGATTTGAGGTATTCGAGGGACGCCATTCGAAGTGCGGAGGACGTTCCAGGAAAGTCTCGTTGAAATAGGACAGATTGTGAATCATCCTCATTTTCGCTGGACCCTTTCTTTGGCACTAAGAATATTGGAGAATAAAACCCTGGTGTTATGATGGGATACGGGAGGAGTTCGATGGCTCTTTTCTCCAACAAAATCGCTATGTTCTCCGCTAGAAGGTTGTGTTGAACCTGAGAGTGATTGTGCCGGAGCGGGAACATTGTCAGAGGTGGATCGGAGAGGAGGGGAGCCAAACCCCTGCCTCAATATATCGGGTGACGATGGATCCTCTAGGATGGACCAATTTTCCCAAAAGATCCCTATTCTCCCACCTACCGGTGTAGGATAAACTGGGACGACTGGAGGTGGGAGTGTCCAGTCGCATGCGTGTCCCTCACTTCACTTGCCCCTACGCCTTCGCCGCCTCTGGGCGGAGCACGGCGACGCTGATATCCACCCCTGTCTGATCTAGGCTTGGCACCACGCCCCTGCCACGAGACGGCGCTGAGTTTCTGGCACCGAACAGACGGTCGCCGAGGCTGGTAGGTGTTGGATGACGGAGGCAGGACGTTGTCCCTTTGAAACGCTTTCAAGGCAGTCTTCCCTTTGGCAAAATCACACACCTGCCGATAAACATCATGAATGGCATCGTTAAACAGTGACGACGATGACCAGGGTTGGTGGAATAATTTCCGCTGAAATTCGAATCCCATGAAGAAAAGGAGAGAAAGCCTTGCCGACGGATTACGCACGTGTTGGCAAGCGCCGACCTAAGGTGTTCACGCAGGTCAGTGATCACTTTACCCTGCCATAGCATCATAGTTGTGAGATGATCCAGTCGATCCGGATTTATTTCCTTAAGATCCTGAGTGATGGCATCAGTCGCTGACGCCAATGCCGATATAGGGCGGAGCATACGCTTAAGCTCTAAGTCCAAAGCCGCGACCCTTGTATCCTGAACTTTATAGGAGGACACAGAGGAAGAACCTGTCACACGTTTCATTTCCTCATCCACCTTAGTCACTGTCTGTCCAGTCAAACACGTGATCAAAGCCAAGGTGATTAGAGCCCGTGTCTTCCTCATAGTCTGGGGCAAAGTCCCTCTCAGAGGACGGTGAACGAAACGGCAAGGGGGAACGGCTACATGCAGACGACGCCTTAGCAGAAGACGCCTTACTACGAGGTCTCGACCTATGTTCGCCTGCCGAAGACGTGGACGCAACGGGAGACGTTGGCGTAGGCACAGGAGCAGACAAAGTTGACAGGATAGGCACCGATGCTGGAGGAGGCAGAGGCGCCGGAATCGTCGGAGGTGGCAAAGGTGGCAAAGGCGCTGGAGGCGCCGTAGGGGGGAGAGGCGCCGATGTAGCTGGTGGCATAAACGCATAGGCGCTTGATGTACCGGATTGACCTGATAGTAAAGTCAAGAGAGTGCTGAGCGTGGATACATCAAACTGCTGGTGGCCGTGATGGCGTTTGCATCATAGACGCTTGAGGCATTGGAAACCCCGTATGTGGTTGATACGCATAAGGCTTCGCCCCGGAACACTGGCTGGGGTGTCTGATACGGGCGAAACTGCTGGCCCATCGGGTCGTTGTGGAGATGACATCGGCAAACCGCGGAGGAGGTGAGGAGTGCCGTTAGCGGCCGCGATCCAAGCGCCGAACAAGCGCAAGCACCGCTGCTTAAGCACCGAGGCCAAGCGCCGAAGCCAAACGCTGTAACACCCGTGACATAAGCGCTAAGACATAATCTGAATGCTGGTGACAGGCGACTCGTTGACACAGTTGACGCCGCAACACTTGACGACGACGAGTGGTCGCCAGGGACCGTGTCGAAGTAGTAGACATACTCCTCCGCCTCTGTTGTCCCAGGCTTCTTAACAACCTGTAGATAAACGGAGAAACTCTTGGGTGATAGCACAGCGCAGCTGGCACATTTATGGCCAGGGTACATTGAGTAGTACAATTCAAACATCGGGATGAGGGTCTTTACGAGACTTCCCACCCCGACAATGTATACAACTTGCACTGTACATAGATCTGCAATGAAGCAGAAAACCCAGTGAACGCACATACAAAGTAATGAATATAACAGCAAAGTTGAGAACAAAAGTCTCAAAATAACTGAAAGTTTAAGAGACCATAATACAGGCACAATAAATATACCACTATTATATGGTATAGTATATAAGCCTGAACCAAATGAAACACAACGACGTATCAAATACGGCAAAGTGTTTTAATGGCGAAGTGAAAGTGTGATGACGGGACCGTGTATAAACGAACGACATCACTACACAGAACTACTGAATGACAAAAAAAGAAAGTGAAAGATAATACCTACACTTCTTGTAGAGGTACAAAAACAAAATACACACAAAGTCAGTCTTTATTAATGCTTCACAAAATATAATCCCGTAGGATACAAGTTGAGCTGGCAAACAACATGTCTAACGAGGCGTGCGAAAAGCAATAATCTGAGGTGGCTGACGTCACCTTCCGGTGACGCATGCGCAGACGAGTAAGCAGCCGAGACCAGGAAGTGATTGCAGTTCTACGTCTTTTTGACATCGTCTGGCAAGCCACGCTTTTCGAGCCGTAAGCAATAAGTGCAGGAAGTAAGTAGTGCAGAATTAGTTAAAAATTTAAATATTCAAGGCTTAAGAACACGAATAAAAGAAGTATCTGAATTATAACAAAGAATGTTCGATTGTATAACATTGCACATACATTTTCTACTCCAAAAAAGATTTCTGATTTATTTCCCTGAGCTGTATGAATGAGTGTTTCAAATTTGTGTTCTGTGATATACCACAACTGGGATTATTCAAACAAAGTTTAAGCTCAATGGGCCTTGTAGTGTCAGAGGAAGTGACAGACTTACAGGTTAGACAGACTGTCATGTGCCATGCCATTACCACATAATGGTGACAGACATCCACAGATATCAGAAAATGTCAGCTATGAACTTTCCTTTTCATTTCTTAACCTTTTGTCAGAAGAAAAAGGAAAGTTCATATTTTCACCACCAGCATAATTGTAGTCCAATTGCTGACTTCCTGGCCCCACACCTGTAGCATACTAGCATGCCTCAATCTTACTAATATTGATGTTGAATGTGTGACAATAAAACAACCTAATACAGTTATGACTATATTTACACCAAGTAAAGAAGACACCAAAGTTTACTTTGACTATGACATAGACTTTGACTATACTCAATATCACTGTATGGAACAAACCAAGTCAAAGGTTTGTGAAAGTAACAGTATATTAGTGTAGCTCACACTCAACGATGCAAGCAGTTTTTCCTTCAACCTTTATAACAACCATCAACATACTACTAACGTTTGATGATGTCGTTTCCTGTACATGAAAATATGAATTGTCATGCCTTAATAGAGACAACCATGCCTAAGACACTGATTATATTACTGTAATTTGAATGATGACCATGACAAAAAGAATGACCCTGAAACAACTTGACAGGTATGAAGTAAGTTTGGTGATAAGTTTGGAGCTGGAAACATATAGCAAACTGCATGATGCTCATTAGATGCATTTCAAAAAGTAAATAATTGCTCCATAAAGCAAATATGGTATAACTTGAGAAGGCCCCTATCTTTGGGTAGCATCAGAAGTGTCATACTGAGAATGACATGCATCAACAAAGTCAGCATGTCTGACCACAAGATCAAACTATCACCTCTTAGCACAAACAAGGGATGCTGAAGACCAATTGTAACCAAATCTTCACTGCTACCTTCGTTACAGAAGTCAGTTCAATAATACTTGTCACTTGTGACAATAATTGCCATCAGGATAAACTAACCATAAAGGGTAGTATCCTTCTATAATCATTACCTCTATCTGATGCTTTTACCAGCCAGGAGCAAAGCCCAGTTACACTTACATCATAAAATTCATCAGAAGATTCCACAGTAACCCAGTCTTGACCAATATCAGATACATTGTTGTTATCAGTAGTAGCCTCTGGCGATGCAGCTTGCCGGGTGATCTCTGGGTAGAGTAATGGCAGGTGTTCAGCAAGGAGAGCAAGTCCTCCAACACTCGCAAATACTTGCAGAGCTGAAGGAAATGTAGCAGAACACAGCAACACCTGGTTGGGGACATCCTCCTCCTTCATGTTCCAGTCTTCCATTGGCACAGCACATCCAACATCTACAAACAAAACAATCCATGGAATTACAACCTTCAAAAGCCCCGTTACAAGCAAAATGATCATAGGATCATAGGACGCCATGCATACAGAACTCTGTGAATAATTCAACAATGACATTGATCTTGTTTATTAAAAATGTATTAAACCTCAGGACACTGAGAGAATGTTATTTTAAATTTTTAGAAGATATTTGCAACTTGGTAACTATTTAAAATGTATTACCACAATTTATGTAAGTCATTAGCTTTTCCCCATACCATTTCCACCTACAGAATATCAGATATTGCCATGTTTATTTGACGCCACTGACATAGCTTGACCAAAGCTCAAAATAATCAGTTAACCGGAAAAATTCAACATCATAACAAATAGATGATCATTAATGGCTTGCAGAAACCTCATCATTGGTACACATTAAAGTCACATTTCACCAGTCATGTAGTACTTCAAAAAATACTGGAAACTGAAAATTACATTAAGTTAAAGTCATTGCAGATGGAGCAAGCACCAATATGATGTTATTCAGAGAGGCTGTCAAAAATGGGGGCTGAAAAGTTTTGAGCTGATGTTAAGGAAGGAGCTTGTGCACATCCATCACCAAACTGTCTGAAAGTATCCTGTATTCTGTAATGGTGCGGTCCCAGTGGCGACCTCGGGAGCTCGACCGACTCGACCTCGCAAACTACTCCACCGGTCTCGACCTCACAACGACCTCATGACCTTAGTTGATTTCAGTCGACCTATCTCGACTTAGGTCGGCTAAGTTGAGAAGACCTATACTCGACCAGCCAGACCTGTATATCGACTAATTTCAATTATTAATTCCGTCCCTAAGTCGACCGGCCCGACCTCACCACTCGACCTGTGTTCAACCGGAGCGACTGGTTCTCTACAGAAATTCCATTTTTCTGCCGAGTAGACCCTTGGTTTCCAAATTGTATAAATTACAGGGTGCATTTTCACCAGTTACCCATTCAATTAGAGGACTGCAAAGTAGTAACATCACCATCAGGGACCTTGACGTAACCTGGTGAGCCCGGAGAAGCGAAGACTGCTTACCCTTTGGGTGCAGATAGCCTGGCACCTGCTTGAATGGGTGGATGGCCTGGAGAATGCCAACCCTCCTCCAAAGCCAAAGCCGTAAGCACATCAATCCTATCCTTGACGCCTTCAAAGCTGAGTACCGCTCAGATGAGTGGGATCAGAGTAGATGGAATACTGTAGCCCGTGCTTTCAAGGAAAGGTGGCAATTTCCATATTGCACCAGTGCGTTTGATGGCAAGCACATACGCATCAAGAAGCCTCCCAAAAGCGGGTCTCTCTTCTACCTGCAGTAGAAAGTACTTCTTCTCTATCGTCTTGCTGGCACTTGCAGATGCCGACTACAAGTTCCCGTGGGTCAACGTCGGGGCCAAAGGATCAGCATCAGACGCTGATGGTCTTCAACCATTCACGAGATCGGATGGAGGGTGATGACCTTGTATTCCCCGTATGGTGTGCCATACTTCATCATCGGAGACGATGCCTTTCCACTCCGCCCCTGGATGAAGTCCTTTTCCATGCGTCAGATGGACCCCGATCAGCAGATCTTCAACTGCAGGTAATTATTCTTTTCCATAAATACCTAAATCAAATTATAACTTAGTATCTTTGGGTGTATGCAATATTATATCAAAGGTTTTGAATTTTGAATGCATTTGACTTAAAAATGTTTAATTTGTGACTTTTGCAGACTGTCTCGGCTAGACGAAAGTGGTGGAGAATACCTTCGGGATTCTGGCTATGAGGTTCCAGATCCTCCTCGGCTCCCTAAATAGCACTGCAGACAGAGCTGAAGAGATAACCCAGGCCTGCGTCACTTTACACAACATGCTGAGAACGAGGAACCGGAACAGTCAGATGAACCTCATAGACCGGGGAATGGGGACTGTTCACTCACCCCAGGCGAGTGGCAGTCCTGCACACAGCTGCTTGATGGGGATAACCGGGGTGCGAGGAACGTTACCCCACTAGATGGCACCAACCAAAGAAACTATTTGAAGGACTATTTCATGGGCCCAGGAGCTGTTCATTGGCAAGAGAAAATGATATCCAAATGACTCTATTATTTAGGACTACTTCATTTACAAAGGAACTCTTGTTTTGTTTTTTATTTACACTATTTACAATTGGTAAATGCGGAAAAAAAACACAAAGAAAACTAACTATATACATGATGAACAAAACAAACTTTACTACAATCGTACAAGATGTATTTACATTTACACTTAGCAATGGATGGAAAATACAAAAAAAATATCAGATAAAAAAGCTTTAAATCTTGTATTGGAAACTCATTTAAATAATCTGAAGGTAACATTTCACATCAGCATCAAGTGCTCATGACAATATATGAGTATCAAGTTCTATTTCTCAGTTTCACTGTCCTTGCTGAGAGTCCTGAACATGTGAATGATCCTCTGAGGTGTGTGTAGGGTCCAAGAGACCGCTTGGCAGGTACAGAGATATACCTGCTGCAGCACTGGCATGGAGTCAAAGTTGGGGAAGATACCAGCCTGAACCGCTGCTTTGCGGCGTGTTGCAGAGGGTGGTGTGCTCAGGGTGGACCTCTGGGTGGCAGCAAGTTGGTGTGGAGATGATGTGCTACCACTGGCTGCCGTTTGGCTTTTATGAAGCATCTGGAAAGATGGCGACCATTTATTCGGTCGGCACGGACTCGATTAGGTAGAGTTGAGGTCGAGATAGGTTGACTTCAGGTCGAGTCGGTCGACTCCAGGTTGAGTCCAAGTCGAGTCCAATTCGAGTTGATCAACTCAAGGTCGAGTCGAGGTCGAGTCAAGGCCGAGTACAGCGACTCTAAGACGAACACAGATCGGCATGTCAGGCACCTCGAACTTCAACTCGACCTAATGTTGACCTAAACTCGACCTTTTTTCGACCTATTCTCGGACCATAAGATATCATAATATCCTCTGATGGGCAGATATCTGAATTTGAATTCATGTACTCTTATGAATATAACCCCTACCGAACTTCCAATCTTTTTGATGAAAAGGGGTATCATCTTCTTTTATAAACAAAAGAAGTAAATCAAAGACTTCATGGATGTGTAAGAATTGCATATAATACTATTCTTGCTTGTATTAAGAGGATCCATATGTTAGGAATAGGTTGTAAACTTAACTGAATTGTGTCACTCATGCTCTGAATTACTCAGTAAAACAGGGTCATGGACTCTCAGCTCTAGGTGAGATTATCTCCTAGTCGGCACTGTTAATTTTACTATTGATGAATACCAGCAATATCCTCTGTTCCGAAATATTTGAAAGAATGGTTGCCAAAGACAGTATCAGGCTTCCAGAATCATCCTTCCATAATAGATGTGATGGTGCACTAACCATGCAATGCTAGCATGGTTGCAATGGCTCTGACTTTCTGTGGATTTGATGCAGTAATCAGGTCCAGTCCTGCAGCTTTGTAGGCTTAGAGAATCACTGACATTGTCAAAAGAAATGGTTGTTCAAGAAACTTCTGTAGAAGTGTTAGGCGATAAAGGTATGAATAAACACTTAAACTTCCTTCTTCCTAGAACCATTCTTTGCAGAAAAAAGTCTTCCATGTCCTCTCTTCCTAGAAAAGATGTAAATTGTCTATCTGGTTGTCCAGGTAGATCAATTCCAATGAAATCACATTTCAAACTCAAATCAGTCTAAGTAAACTTGGGATCAGTATTATTCGTTACACTGCTATACTGAGTCCAACAAAACCTTGTGGAAGGTCGTGTCAGGTAACGTTTTCAATTGACCAATCAGAACACAGCTTACCAAATCGCAAAGTTGAAATTCGCACACACCTTTTGAACTTTTACCTCGAAAAAGTTCTGTACCCAAACGATTCCGAATGCTATTTTCCGTACGATCGCTTCCGAGTGATGCACATGGAGCACCCCACAACAGTAAGTAAACAGTCGCTGAAAATAGCATTTTGTCAGTATTCAAGGATGTCAGCTTGCGGAAATATTAGCTAATGATAACCAAGTGAACAGAAACCCAAAAGCGTATATTCTGCAGGTCATATATCTGTGTTTTATGCAGGGTTTTATTTGTTGTGAGATCAGTGTTGGCTGACCGGGGAAGAGAAAATCCATTTTGTAAGTCCCGCCGAAACCTAAATATGTAATTTTCTGAATAAAATTGATATTTTATACTTATCCTGACTCATGCTTATTTGCTTGTCTCCTTCCTCTTGCGAACGTTAGTGGAACACTTGTTTCTCCTATTGAAGCTCCCTTCAATAAAAACAGACGTAAAATCACTACTCACCAAGAGTTATCCGTTAATCCGTTTTGGCGGGAAACTGTGACGCCACCGTGCCCACATGCTTCACTCTCTCCTGATTATGAGCCCGACACTTAAATTTGCAGGGAAATCCAAAGTGTCTAGTGGGGAGGTTGGGAGGATAAGTATAAAATATCAATTTTATTCAGAAAATTACATATTTTCCCTTATCCTGACTCATGCTTATTTGCTTGTAGAATCCGTCGGATTTGGTGGTGGGTCAAGCTACTTCTGGATTTCATTTAGTGATTTACGTCATATATACCCCCCTATGGGAACTTCTTATTGGCACTTGCTAGTCTCTGCTGTGCTGCGACCCTGTACTTCCAGCTGCCTTTTGACGGGGGGACCACAATAGTTAACGTTTGGTCCTTTCTTCTGTTAACATTTTATGTGGATTTTGCGACTCCATTTCTTGATGCAAGCACCAAGTCGGAGACCCTTTCCTTCCTGCACGAGTATCCTTACAAGTACTGGGTCCTATCACTTATGCTTGTCCTTAGATCGCATTTAGACTTTAAGCAGAACTCTCGGAGTGTAGGCTTTTTCAAGTCATGTGATAAAGGGCGAGACTTCGTCTCAACGCCTTTGAGGGACTGTCAACTGTTGTGCTACAACCAGCGGGCCGAAATGGTGAATGCCGGAGACGTCCTCGGTGGCGA